AATAAGATTTTCTGCCATACTAGAGTATGTTCACCTGGCTTGCTTCATCCCAATCTAAACAGACAATATACTCTTACGTAGATATAAGAAATAATGACATTTGTATCAGAAAGTGGTCCATTAAATCACAAAAGCCTAGTCCAAAAATTTCTGGTTAAAAAATGGACAACACCTTCTGCTGGAATCATTAGACGTTGGTGTCCTAACAGTGATTAAGGATCAGGGTAGCGAAAGCTGTCGTGTTTTACCTGCATGGTATCTGCTCACCAGATTTCAGCAACAGCCCCCACTGTCATGTGAGGATAAATCCTTCTAGCACTCTCAGTCCCTGTGGTTCAGGCAGAGCCTGACTCCTAGCTCTGGAGTCTGAATGAGGCCTAAGCCAGTCAGTACGCTCCAACCCATCCCTCCAGCCGTAATGACTGGTTCGGAAATGGGCACTAACCCTAAAGTGATCCAACCAGAGTACTGGAGCCACTGAGAAGAGAATCTTTCCTAACCACTAGTGCTGAACCGCAAAGTACAGTACTAGGAGCCTCTAGGAACAACATCCAAAGGCTGAGAAGCCAATTCGGCAGAGGACAAATTTGGGATTTATGGAGGAATAACATTCATTCACACAAGAAGAATTTCCTTTCTCTGTACTCCTGACTGATATTTGTTTTTTTGAGGCAATTGGAACTCTGGTTAGAGAAAAGGAGAGAGATAATTTTAAGATTATGCAGCATTTGGGAGCACTGGGCAGCATTTGTAGATTCTGCCAAGAGTAAACTCTTGACTGCAGAGAGAACAACAGTAGCTTACCATTTAGGACAAAAAAAGACGTGACTAACTATAAAAACAAACTGCCAATTTCAAAATTTTGCCCATGACAAACCTGAAACGAGAGAGGAAATAGCATCTTACCTCAAACAGGGACTCTACCCTCACCCCATGATAATCACAGCTAATCTTTAATGAGCAGCTACTATGTGCCAAGTATGTGCTGGAAGCTTTGCAGGCATTCTGTTATTTAATTCTCACAAAAACTCTATAGGTAATTCTAATCTGTATTTTATAAATAGGAAAACTTGAGGTCCAAATTCACACAAAAAGTTGCAAAGCCAGGATTTGAACCCCAATCTGTTTTACTACAAATCATAGTCTTTGCTTTTTATCACACGCTCAGGGTAAAAAAACTCAAATGTCTTTGGGACCAGGCAAGTAAAGTACAGTAAATGTGTGGAGTGGCTCAGTTTTAAGATTATACAGCTGTGGTTCTCAACCTTGGCTACAAGTTGGCATGACCTGGAGAGCGCTAAAGACTACTGATGCCTGGGTTCCACCCCTATAATTGTGATTTAATTCATCTGGGAGCTCTCCAGATGATTCCAATGGGCAGTCATGGTTGAGAACCATTGTGTATAGATACAGGGAAATGGTGCATGGCCCACTTGAAAGCAGTTGAAAAAAAATTAAAGGTTAAATAAAAACTGTGCTGGTCAAAACAAAGGTTGTTACTACCTCTGCCACCAGTACATGACCTCTGTCCCATTCCTCAGTATACTTAAGGCACACAGTCAGACATAGACATTAAAAAAAAAAAAAACAAGAAAAAAATTGCTGTCAAGTTGATTCCAACTCATAGTGACTCTATAGGACAGAGCAGAACTGCCCCATAGGGATCCCAAGGAGCAGCTGGTAGATTCGAACTGCCGACCTTTTGATTAGCAGCCAAACACTTAACCACTGCATCTCCAGGGCCCCAGACATAGACACAGAGATAGAGATATTTGTTTTTTGGGGAGATGGAGTTGCCTAGTTTGGGAACATTCCTCATGGGACCCCCACCACCTCCTATTTATAGGACTGTTCTACAACAAAATGCACTTGGGGTTAGAAGTAACCTAATTTCAAACAAAGCTTTGGAGTACAACCCATTCCTAAACTGAAGATGACCTAAATATGCACATTTACAAATGTATACCTTCAAGACTATAGGACCAAATTACTTAAACTTTTGCAAGAGTCATTTTTATAAAGTAGGACACTCATGATGAACTCTGATCTTAATCCAAAACAGGTCAAGAAATCCTGCCTAAATAAACAAATCTTAAGACTGGACAGTCTGATGCCCTTGAGACCCATCCTTGCAGGTGGTATATGTCCTGCTGTGTAAAATGCCATTTGTCATTGGAAAGGGGAAGCAAAATCTGTACACCATCAGAATACCTTCATCAAATAAATGCTACAGAAGTCAGTAGTCAATAGTGAATGTGATAATACATTTAAAGAAAGAATAAGAAACTTTAGCCTACTGAGGAAATATTCTTCATGAATAATTATGTTGTCACTGTTGCAGCACCACAATTTAGGAGGAAACAGCAAGAATAATTAAGAATGGACTTTGAGATTACTCCTTCAAACTAGCCAGAACATTTTTATCTCCTGCTGCAAAGCAAAAGTTGTGTATTTTAATAACCTTGTATTACCATCACTAAAAACCAGCTGCCACTGAGTGGATTCTGACTCATGGTGACCCCATGTGTGTCAGAGTAGAACTGTGCTCCATAGGGTTTTCAACAGCTGATTTTTCGTAAGTAGACTGACAGACCTTCTTTCGAGGCACCTTTTGGTTAGTAGCCAAGTGTGTTCACTGTCTTCACCACCCAGGGACTCCCCGCCCCCCACTACCATCACCAAAAAAGACAAATAAAAGGACAAAGGAAATTAAGATTGGTTTTCAAAATGAAATACTGCAAATAAAGGTCATGATTCAGAAAGCAGGACTTCAGTTAATAAGTTCCAGCACGGGCAGTTGAGGCAATGAGCTATTAGGGCCTTTTTTTCTTTTTTTTTTAATTTCTGTTCCTTTGTTTGGTTTTCAGAGCAGACACAGAAGTGAAGCCCAAAAAAGCAGACAAAAGTACCTGGAACTAATCTCTCCATCATAGGTTAGAATGATGTTGCTTGATAACTGAACACTATATATTGATCCTCTCCTGAATGTCAGGCACTGTGGGGTGCTGAGGGTGTACTGCTCAGCATGACAGCACCTGCTCTCATGGGTTCCTAAAATAAGAAACCGAGGCACACAACCTCAGATGATCCACCATACACACCTCCTGTTCCAGCCGCATTTGGAAAAACCCAGTCCTGATGTCGTACTATTAGGCAGCAAATTTTTCCCTTGGTCTAGCTGCCCTGAACTTCACAAGGAAGCCACTGACAACTTATAAGTAAATAAGTAAATTAAATAAATATTCACCCTTCTCATACCAAATGGGTATTTCAACAACATAGTAAATTTCACTAACATTAGTAAATTTCAACAACTTTAAAGAAAAAAAAATTAAGCTAAGATTACCAAAATAGGTTTTCCTTTTGAACTAAGCCCAGCTCACATACTTTTACTGCCTGCAGCTACGCAACTTCAGTAAGCTAAAAATACTTTCTTTTCTCCTAACTTGGGAAGAGCAAGTAAGACCAAGCAATCATTTTCGTTCATCCTAAATTTTTCACGAGCAATGAAAAAGCATGTTTTATATTTGTATACACATACAGACAGAAACATCCAACCGACTTGCATCTTCCCAGTAATATGAAATAAACTATAGTTAAATTATCAGCAGACCATCAACATTTCCACTATTTATAGCTTTTCTATTACTATTATTTTTTGGTCAGAGGGAGGGCAGTATATGTGTTGAAAACTAACCCAAGTACAAGTAGGAGCTTTAAAAACTACAGGAATATGAAAAACTATACTCCAACAAATTTGAAAACCTAGAGGAAATGGATAAATTTCTAGAAACACACTACCTACCCAAACTA